CACTCCCTGGGGTGTTCAGCTTCACATTCCTCAGAATCGAGCTACCTATTACTAGGGTAGGCTTCTCAGCGGGTGGCTCGCTGAGTGGGGAAAATCTGTTAGCTACTCGAACAGATTGAGGGGACACTAGGTGCTTAGACTTTTTACGGCTATTCCTCCCTCGGACAGCCACCCAGCTTCCTTTTCCTGGCTGCTCAGGAGAGGCCGGAGGGGGGGAAGGGGGGGGACGGCTATCAGCTAACTCAGGTCGGTCCGCACCGACTACCTGGGACTGGCTACACTTAGCTAGCCTAGCTAAGGGCTGCTCTACTACGGTGCGGAGCCGAGCTTCTAACGCACTGAGCCTCGCCTCCATGTCTAGAAATAAACTACACTTGTTACACATACCACTACCGTTAAAGGAGGCAGAGGAGTAACTAAACATCAGACACACCGAGCAAGAAAGAGCAGGAGAGCGAGAGGGAGAAGCCATCGCTAGCTGTTAAAGTCGCTAACGGCTAAACAAAAGTACGGTAGAGCCACCGGAACCTTTGTTACATCCGCTATAAGACAGAACAGCAGTCACCCAAGATGGAAAGAACTATTGGTGCTTAGGCAAACTTACTGAAATATAATTACGTTATATGGTAGTAAGCGAGAGCAGAGAAAAAAGCGCTACCACCACACAAACACCGCTAACACCGGAAACCGGAAATGGGTCGATACGCTTACCGCTACGCTTACGCTTACGCCAACAACTCCAGTGGAGAAGAAAGCAGATTCAGCAACAGTCTCCACACGCCTCCCTTCCAGGGAATTCTGAATGTGTCTGAGGTCTCTCTAAAGCTCTGTGAGGGCACAGAATAAAAACACAGAACCACCGGCCGGATCAGAACCTTTCGGGGGTCCAGTCTCGGCTTTTTACTTAAGATCAGGCTTCAAACTTTCCTTTCTGATAAAGCTGACAGTTACAGATGCTCTGGGACCCCTAAACACCCCATAGTTCGGCTGGGGCGGGGCCTGTGCTCAGAACTCCACCTTGCAGGCGGGGAAGGTCTCCTCCTGCATGTCAACGGTGCTGTTGCTGCCCAGCACGGTGAGCCCCAGCTCCCTCTGCTGCTCGTGCGTCTCCTGGTACCACTCGTACATCGCCAGCGAGTCAAAGGTGGGGATGATGGTCACTTGGAGGTCGGGCCAGCTGCTCTTGCCCTCCAGCAGGGCGTCCAGGATCCTCCTCATCTCCGCCTCCTTCTGTCCGTCATCCCCGCTGATGATGTAGTGGGAGGAGCGCAGCAGCCGGAACAGCTCCAGGGTCACCGTGGAGGAGGCGGGGCCTGAGGGCAGGTAGGCCAGGTCCACATACACCACAGAACCCTCGGAACCGGACGCCCTGGAACCTGATGGCGGCGGTTTTCCAGCTCCACTTCTGGAGCCACTGAGGCTCCCCCTCAGGGACCCACTGTTGGAGCCTTTGGCCTCCAGGCCCGGCCCCCCCCTGAGGGACCCGCTGGCAGAGCCTTTGGCCTCCAGGCCGGGCCCCCCCCTCAGGGAGCCGGTGGAGCTCCCAGCCTTGGACTTCACGCTGTGGGCGGAGCTGCTTCCCGACACGGTCCTCTGCAGAGGCTTCTTCCTGGTGGCGGAGGTCTTCAGGCTCTTGTCAGTCTATGGGTCCGTCATACAGGCACTGGGCTGGGGGGGCAGAGGGGGCAGGTCTTTGATGGGGGCCGGAGGCGGGTCGTGGAGATGCCTGGGCTGGCTGGCAATGAACAGGCTGCTTGTGGGGCAGTCCTCCGGGTCTGGAGACTGGCTGACAGAGGTGGGCGGGGCTTCCTGGGAGTGGTTGTTGTTGTCCACCAGGTCCGGAGGGGGGCCGGTCCCTGGGCTGGGGCTGGTCTCCTGGGGTTCTGGGGTGCTGGAACTCACAGGGGGACACCAGACACAGGTCCACGTCGTGTGGCTCGTCAGAGGGGAGCTCGGCCAGGCCGTGCACGTGGGCGCCGTCCCCAGAGGGGCCGTTGGACACCGACAGAGGGTCATCGGCCTCCGTGGAGGGAGGTGTGTCGGACTCGGTGGGCCAGGAGTCCACCATCATGTCCTGGACTGGACTGGAATGCTTATCTTGAGAGAGTGAGGTCCTCACCTGGTCCTGCAGGCCCCCCGGGCCCCGGACCCCGTCCCCGCTGGGGGCAGAATCCGCCGGGGAGACCAGCTCCATGGTCCTCTCCCCGGGGCTCCCACAGACCTCAGCCCCGGCTGCTTGTGGCCATAGCGGACCTGCGTCCACCCGTCAGCCATGGTTTTTAATTTTATTTATGGGGGGGAAAAGGGGGGGGGGGGGGGCGGACAACTAAAGGAGGGTTTTCCAAAAGGGGAAAACAATACGTAAAATTAAAAGATTTTTTTGTTATTTTAAGGACTTTTTCATTTTTTGGTTAAATTTTATGAATTTTTTACTTTTTTTGGTACTTTTTAAAAAAAAATTAAATAAATGAAAAAAAAAATAAAAAACTGTTTTAGAAAAAAAAATATATTTTTGTATTAATTTATAAATTCAAATCAAATTGTGTGCCACTGGACGACGTTTCCCCGATTCAGGGCTTCATCAGGTCCGGCACACAGAAAAAAACAAGGGTTAGGGTTAGGGTTTAGGGTTAGGGTTAGGGTTAGGGGTTCGGAAAGAGGGGATGGGTTGTGCCCTGCACTCGCCATCCGGATTCTGTTGTACCTTTAAAGTAAACAATGAAAAAAAACCTTGTTGTTAGTGATGGATTATGGAAATTAGAGGTCAGGGGGTGGAAACTCCTCAGGTGAGAGGTCATCTGAAAGGAAAATAATTTGAAGGGTTATAAAGAAATCATAATGATACAGTTGGATGTGAGACGAAAAGATGTGAGGTGGGTTTGAGTTAGGGTCCGGTTGTCCTCTGTGGGGGAGGTGCCCTCTCATTAAGGCCATGGGGGTAAGTGGTTTTGAGTTTGGTGATCCAGAGTCTTTCATTGAATTTTCTTTGTTTGATGGTCCAATGGGGGTTTGACTGAAGAATGGAGACCTTGATGGCCTCCCACCCATGTGATAGGATGTGTTTGACGAGGTGTCTGTGTGTATTTTTCTTGTGAATGATGTTTTGTTTGTGTGTGTAGAATCTGGCTCTGATGGTGCGTCCTGTTTCCCCTACATATTTTAGATTACAGTTATTGCAAAGAATTATATAAATACAGTTTGTGGTGTCAATATTGCCATGTATGGGTGTCCGAAATATTTGTCCAGTCCAGTGATTCTTGATCCAATGTTGTTGTTTAAAGTAGTTATGATTGATTTCTCTTTTGTCCGGATATTGTTTGGGGATGATGGCGCGAACGAGGTGATCTTTGAGGTTTTTGTTTTTTCTGAAGGCTGTAATGATCCGAATATCCTGATAAGGTTGATTGGGGTTGATATTTTGTTTGTAGTTATTTTTAATAAAGTAATTGAAGTAAGTTGTGGAGTCTGAATAAGTAGTTATGAAGGGGAGAATGTTTCCTGGGGCGGGTTTGATGTCCAAAAAGGTTTTAAAGCAGGTTCTGAGGCAGGAGCGGGTGTAACCCCGCCCCCTGAGGGCTGTAAAAAGGATGGTGGTGGCAGTTTTAAAGTCTTCTGGTCTGGTGCAAATTCTATGAAAACGTAAAAGTTGTGATTTGATGAGTCCTTTGAAAGTATGTTTAGGGTGGTAACTTGTCCGGTGTAATAAAGCGTGGGTGTCTGTTTCTTTGAAAAATACTTTGATGTCCAGTTTTTTGGTGGTGCTGAAGTTAGGGCCTTTGAAGACTGTAGTGTCCAGGAAATTAACAAAAAGTGCACTGAGAGTATATTGTAATTTAATTGATGGGTTATGGGTATTTAATATGTTGAAAAATTCTAGTTCTGATCCATCCCAAATGCCCCAAATGTCATCCAAATATCTAAAGTAGTGTGGTGGTCTTTTTGTGCATTTATTGAGGGCTT